TACTTCCACTCACCCACCGAGCATCCCGACACCTTTCGGTTGCCCATTGGCTCGATGGCCCGGGTCGACGGCTGGAAACGGTGGTTCTACAAAAGCACCTTTTCCCATCGTCGGCCTTCCCCAATTTGCCTGGGGCATCCCCACCTCATTTGGAGACATCTAGGAGACCTCTCCCCAACCCCTAGAGGTGGTTCCGCCGCCCGTCTACCCCAGCACCCCCCTCCGGGACTGCTTCTTGGAAATGACAGAATCACCTAGTAGCCACTCCGACGGGTGCAGAGGGGTTCTATGGTCACCAAAACCACTTTCCTACTACCACTCACCCATTGAGCATCCTGACACCTTTCGGTTGCCCATCGGCCTAATGGCCTCAGCCGACAGTGGGAAACGGTGTTTTGCAAAAGCACCATTTCCCACCGTTGGCCTTCCCTGTTGGCCCGAGGCATCTCTGCCTCCTCTACAGACGTCTAGGAGACCTCTCCCCACCCTGTGAAGGTGGTTCCACCACCCGTCTACCCTTGCACCCCCTCCGTGACTACTTATCGAAAATGGTAGAATCACCCAGAGGCCGCTCCGGTGGGTGCGAAGAGTTCGATGGCCACCAAACCCACTCCCTCCTACTACTACTCACCCACCGAGCATGATGACACCTTTTGGTCGCCCATCGGCCCGACAACCCGGGCCGACGATGGGAAACAATGGTTCTACAAAAGCATTGCTTCCCACTGTCGGCCTTCCCCATTGGCCCAGGGCATCTCCGACCCCTTTAGGGACGTTTAGGAAACCTCTCCCCACCCCATGGACGTCTAGGAAACCTCACCCAAAGGTCACTTCAGGAGGTGCGGAGGGGTTCGATGGCCACCAAACCCACTCCCTCCTACTTCCACTCACCCACTGAGCATCCTAACACCTTCTGGTCGCCCATTGGCTAGACGGCCCGGGCCGACGGTGGGAAACGGTGGTTCTACAAATGTGTCGTTTCTCATCGTCGGTCTTCCCCGTTGGCTTAGGGCATCTCTGCCTCCTCTGAAGACGTCTAGGGACCTCTACCCACCCTATGAAGGTGGTTCCACCGCACCCCCCTTCGGGACTACTTCTTGGAAATGGCAAAATCGCCTAAAGGCCGCTTTGATAGGTACAGAGGTGTTCAATGGCCACCAAACCCACCCCTCCTACTGCTACTCACCCATCGAGCATCCTGACACCTTCTAGTTGCCAATCGGCCCGAAGGCCTGGGTCGACAGCTGGAAACAATGGTTCTACAAATCACCGTTTCCCACCATCGGTCTTCCTCGTTGGCTCGGGCATCTCCGCCTCCTCTAGGGACGTCTAGGAGTCCTCTCCCCACCCCGTGGAGGTGGTCCCACTACCCGTCTACCCCTACACCCCCCCAGGAGCATTTCTCGGAAATGGTAGAATCACCTAGAGGCCGCTCTAATGGGTGCAGAGGGGTTCGATGGCCACCAAACCCACTCCCTCTTGTTGCCACTCACCCACTGAGCATCCTCACACCTTCTGGTTGCCCATTAGCCCAACGGCCCGGGCCAACAGTGGGAAAAAGTAATTCTATAAAAGCACCGTCTACCTCCTCTAGGGATGTCTAGGGGACCTCTCTCCACCCTATGGAGGTGGTGCCGCCGCCCAGCTTCCCCCACACCCCCTCTGGGACTGCTTCTTGAAAATGGCAGAATCACCCGGAGGCTACTCCGGTGGGTGCGGAAGGGTTCGATGGCTACCAAACCCACTCCCTCCTACTGTCACTCACCCATCGAGCATCCTGACACCTTTTGGTTGCCCATTGGCTCGACGACGAGGGCATAGACAGTCGGTGTCCTTAGCCTCTCAAACATGAAGGGATATGGTTTTAAATAAGGAGCATTTTCGTACACAGGTAGAGTTGAAAATAAATACTAATTTATTAACTGGATTTGATGTGGATTTCAATTTTCGTACGAGGTTAATATTTATCGATGAAGAGATCGATAAAAACACCTATATTATAATATTTATTAATTTTAATATAAATTTATATAATTATATTTAAAATTATAAATAAAATATTTTATATATTATATTGTATATGAATTTATATATATAATAAATTCAGTATATTACATTTACATTAATTTTTTATATATAAAAGTCAAAAAGTATTTAAAATTTATTGACATTTAAAAAAAAAAGAACAAAGTGGAATCAGATTAAATCCGGATCCGATCCGAATCCATTAGGATTTGAATTTGAACCTAAGGTCTTAAATTCCAATCTGATTTTAGGTCGGGTTCTGATGCAAATTTTTACTAATCAAATCGAATTCAGATTTTGATGAACCCGATCTGAATCCAATCCAATTACATCCCTAATTTTGAATCGATATCTATCTAATATGCATGTAGAAATTTAAACTCCATTGCCCATGAATTAGCATATAAAACATGTAAATATATATTTGTAGATGGCAAATGGTGGCAGCCAAAATGTATTAGATGCTTTGAGCTATGATATCTAATTCCTCTCCCTTCTTTTCGAAAAAAAAATGTTCTTTTTAGATGGTGGACAAATTATAACCGGTGTTCAAAAACACCAATTATTGGGTTACTTCATTTTGTTTTGGCAACAAGAAAACTTAAACAGAAATTTACAGGTTTATACGTGTACCTTTAATTTACAAGTTGTTTTACAAAAGAAAAATAATAATTTACAATCAAAAAACAAAAGAGTAAGTTGTGGGCATCTGAATCATGTATCAAGAGTTTTTGTATAACCGGTGTTCAGATCACTAAGATTGGGAGATGGCTGACGTATATCACATCTGCCGAGTAGAGGGAGTTGCAGTGGTATTTTGATTTTAGTTCTGGTTTTCAGAGGTTCAATTTTCAACATTCAAGTGTCAGGAGGTTTTCTTTTTGTGAAGGGGGGTTCAAAGTCATTTCCCCATTTTCCTATTCTGGTGAGTACTGGTCTCATGAAGACTTGTTTGGCAAGGACGGGGATGAGGAAGGGGACCAATCGGGATATCTGATTGGGGACGGGGATGGAGATGGGGAATGAAGTCCCCACCCCACTCCAACAGTCCGAGGCCCTCATTGACCTGAGATCCATTTCACCCATGCCACAAATGACACACATACGGACAAGGGTGTGAATGGACCGGTTTTGGATTGGATCCCGTCCAGTCTAAAATCAATTTGGACGGATTGAATGGACCAATAAGGCATATTAGATTGGACCAATCTGGTCCAAAATATTTATTAGATTAGATTGGACTTGGTCCATCTGTAATAAATTTATATTGAATTGGGTTGGATTAAGCCAATATCTGGCCCATTGATATAAGATAAGAATATATGTGTTAATGGACCGAGTTTGAGTTGAAACTAATCTAAATCAAAATGAATTTGGACAGATTGAATGATCCAAACATTAAATTGGACCATATGTGCTTATATGTGACCAAATAGTCACTCAAGAAAGATGATTACAATCATATTTTGCCAAGGATGTCCAAATTAACATCCAACAAGATCAAAACGAACGTCTGCACATCTACTTTTAAGTGAAGATGACCGAATTTAAGATCTTGAGCAATTAATATTACGTATTGACATGTTTACTATTGAGTCTTGATTGGATTTTGTAACCCTTTATGTACGCAGTACGCTTTATTTATGGCAGATCCTGAATCAGTCCATGCGTTCACAACTGCTGAGACGACCATGACTTTCCTCCGACCTCCACTAAACGGTTCTTTGTAATGTAATGAATTTATTTCTTTTGCTTATATGTCCTATATTTTAAAGCTCTCAATGAATGAGGTCTGATCTAGGTGAAAGTGGATCAACCCCGAACCAGACCCTATTAATTCCATAAAACCAGATCTACAAATAAAATGTGTTTGGCTAGATCATTTGAGGTTACAACGGCCACGCCTTACAATGCAATACAATTGATCAATGTCTGTTACAACGTAATGGACACACTACACACGGCTGTTTTAGTGCTCAGTCCCATATAACCATAATTAAAGATAATACATAATAAACCTGTTTATATATATCTTAATTAATAAAATAAGTGTTTTTTACTAAAATTATCTTATATACTATTTTAGGAAATTTACCGTATTTAAATATAAAGTAGAGCAAAAGTTGTAAGATAATTAGGAGATCACATCTCCGCCGTGTATTGCTGGGAATATCTAATCATAATGACATCATTGGGACTGATATTATCATCGGGAGATATTCCAATATACGGCGGGGATGTGCAGTGGGGTGGCCCCCTATGGGGTAGAAATGTAAACTCAATAATTAGGAGACCATGGAGAACTAGGGATGTCAGTGGGTCGGATTGGGGAGAATCCGCACTGACCCGACCTGTTGACACCGTAGCCTTGAAGATATTAAGTATATGTAATTAATATCAATTGGATATAGGTTTACTATACATGAATATACCTACATGTATCAGGTTCGGAAGCCCCTCTTCATTTGGTTGGATCGGGTTAGGTTCAAGTTTAGTCAAATCCGTATTGGAACCAGCCTATTGACATTCCTACATGGAACAGCAACAACTGGTTTCAACCCAATTACAATTGGGGGACACACAATCACACAAAACTCAAAATCAGAACCGGTATAATTGGTTTACTCATGGTTTCTGAACCTTATTTGATCTGGATGGTCAGATCATTTGGCCCAGAAACCGTACAGGCAACCGTTGATTTGGTTAGTGACCCACTGACCTAGGCAGTTGAATCATTGACCTGTTTAATGGTTTTGGCCTTTTTATTTTTTATTTTTTAAGTTGAAACGAGCCATACATTTAAACCGGATGATTGAACCATCAACCCAGAAACCGGTGGGCAGAAAGGTTTCAGTTGCATGTCGGTTTTTAAAACCTTGGGTGTAATCTGGCTGGATTCAATCGCGTAGTTCCCACCCATTGACAAGTCTACGGTATTTCATTGACCTGGGGTGGCAAACCATTCATTTCAGGTGGACCTGCAACTGCAAGTAAACGGCCTGGTCAATATTCATGATCGACTGAGACTGACCTAGCTTAACTACTAGTATTTCAATGGCGAAATATTTATGCACAGCACTTTTCTCTCACAACCCTCATCTCCAACCAAGCCTTCTACTCTGCTCTGTCAAGGCAACAACCATGGCGTATCAATCAATATCGCTCTCTTCCCTTTATCTTCTCTTCCTCCTTCCCAGCCTTATAAGCGCCATCTCCTCCTGTGGAGGTCCATGCCAGACCAGCGATGATTGTGATGGCCAGCTAATCTGTTCCAACGGTGGATGCACCACTGATCCCGACGCCGGCACAACGGAATCCCCGCCGGTGACGTCCTCCACAGAAGCCATCCTCACCAACAACGACTTCAGTCAAGGTGGCGATGGTGGGGGACCCTCCAAATGCGATGATAGCTACCACAATAACAGTGGACTCATCGTTGCGCTATCTACTGGGTGGTATGCTGGTGGTAGCCGATGTGAGAAAATGATCCGAATCACAACCCAATCTGGAGCCAGTGTGACGGCCAAGGTGGTGGACGAGTGTGACTCTGTGAATGGCTGCGACGCCGAGCACGCGAACCAGCCTCCGTGCCGGAACAACATCGTCGATGCATCGGACGGCGTGTGGAATGCTCTGGGGCTCAACATAGACGATGGTGAAGTGTCGGTGACATGGTCCATGGCTTAGATGAGGTTCAGTTTGATCTGCTCGTCTGTGTAGTCCTCTCTGTTACGTTGCAAATAAATAGGGAACTAATAGTGTTTAATTAGGTTTTCTATCTTCTTGTTTGGATCTCCTAGAGTCCTCGGAGATTTGTGCTCTCTAATGCTGTGCTTGGTTTTATAGAAAATAAATGAGAAACAAAAAGGTGGGTGAAATTGTTTATTTGCAGTGCAATTCTTAACTGGTTATAATTTATAAATTCTGTACGTGGTTCAGTTTTGCACTGTACTGTTACCTGAAATAAAATTTGTACTTTTTATCTCATTTGTATTAATCACAGTGCAAATTTTGCATTTCAAACCTGGATGTAAAATTTTTACTACCTTCTTTAATTATTTCTCATATAAAGTGGGAATCGCATCATTTTGCTACCTTACCTCATTCCTGATGAATAAATAGAAACCGGATTGTTAATGCAAGGCCCGTTCTAACAGCCTTTATAGCCTTGTATTAGGAATAACTCCCTATGAAATAAAGCACATAAATATGGAGATATTCCCAATGCAAGGCTATAAAGGCTGTTTGAAGTCTATCTCGAATAAAGAAGGGCCCATTTGGCACATCTTTCTGTGTGGTCTTTTGACTGTTTACAAGTAGGGAAGACTGATTTTTAGTCTATTTCCGTTTGTTGTATGAGAGATTTAACCACCAAAAGATAAAACGCCGAAAAGACACGAGAAGCCCATTTTGGGCTGATTTCGGGAAGCTCCAAACGAAGCTTCTCACGTCTTTTGCATTTTAATCTCACGTGGAAAAATGCACGTCTGCCAAACGTGCTTCGGGCTGCTCAGATCTTCATGCAAAAGCTCAATATGTCTTTTGTATATCAGAACTACCAGAAGATCTTCCAAAAAAGATGTACCAAACGGGCCCTAAAACTTATCTCAACTTCAATCTCTTCCATATAAAGTAGGAATTACTTCATTTTAAAATTACAAAACAAATGAGACAACACCAATTCTCAAGCAAAACTTACGCAGAATTTACACTCGGCCTTTTTGCACTCACATACCATGCAAATTATATTTGCATTGGAAACAAGGAATTTCGCTAAGGCCGCATTTATTTGCGGTATAAACACTAGGTCGGTTTAAACTTGCACTCTCTAGTTTTGCCATATAGCAATGTATTTATACATCGCAAATCGATGTATTTTCTCTGCATTTTATTTTGATATTTTTTCTAGACAAAAATTCATTCTTCACTTCTACATATTTTTCCGAAATTAGTATTTCTCTAGGCTTCCTTTTGTGCTTCCGTTGGTTTTTCACATTTGGCCTTTTTAATTGATGTTTTCCTATATACTTAAATTTTAAAATCTTCTTTTAATCCCAAGAGGAATTATTCCCAACTCTTAAATATGGAGACAAGTTAGAGGGATTGGACATTGAAGTGGAGGAATTATTCCCAACTCTTAACCTTCCCGAGACCTCGGACTTCTGAAGAACATACCTCAAAGGTCAATCAATTAGGACTATGACAGTGTGAGATTAGAAGTAAGGGCACAACTTCCGAGCTGTCAGGACTAAGGCGAAGGCCAATTTCTCTATGTCAGGAAACTTGGTCTCAGCTGCATGTAGAACTTTGCTTATGTAATAGACGGGTCATTGTGCCCTGTCTACTTCTCGAACTAGTATCAAGCTCGCTACCTCGTCGCTCGCGGAGAGGTAGAGTTTTAGCTCATCTCTGGGTTCAAGTCTGGTCAATAATGCAGGTGAACTGAGGTACATCCTAAGCTCGTCGAATGCAAGTTGGCACTCCTAGGTCCATTCGGAGTCTTTATTCTTTTTTATTGCTTTAAAAAATGGGAGACACCGCCCAACCGACTTAGACATAAATCGGTCCAGGGCAGCAATTCGACCTGTTAACCTTTGTACTTCTTTAATTGACCTAGGTGGTCTCATGTCTAGGATTGCCTAGATTTTGTCCGGGTTGGCCTTGATGCCACGTCAGTGCACTATATAATCAAGAATTTTGCTCGACATGACCTCGAAGACAAACTTGTTTGGGTTGATCTTCATGTTAAATTTCTTTAGAATTTGAAAAACAAAATTTAAATCATCAATAAAGAACTTGCAAATTGAGTCTTCACAACCATGTCATCAACATATGCTTCAATTTTATTTCTGATCAAGAGAGAAAATATCTTATTTACAAGTCATTGGAAAGTTGCTCCAGTGTTTTTCAATCAGAAGGGCATTACTTTATAGCAGTACAAGCATGGTTCAGTTACAAAGGCTATTTTTTCCTAGTCTTCTGTGTTCATCCAGATCTGGTTGTAGCCGAAGTAGGCATCCATGAATCTCAACAACTCGTGCCTCGAGGTCACGTTTACCAAGCAATCTATTCTAGGGAGGGGGAAACTGTCCTTTGGGCAAGCTTTGTTGAGGTCGGTATAGTTGATGCACACGCACCACTTGCCATTTTCTTTTTACACGAAAATTAGGTTGGCTACCTAGCTTGGATACTGGACCTCTCTAACAAAGTTTGCTGTGAGAAGCTTCCCGATATCCTCGTTTACTATCCTCCATCTCTCTGGGGTGAGGTTCATTTTCCTTTGCCTAATTGGTCTGACTAAAGGGTCTACATTAAGTTTATGAGTAATTATAGATGGGTTTATGCTGGGCATTTCTACTGTCGACCATGCGAAAACATCTAAATTTTTAAGTAAAAAACTTACCAGTTGCAACCGGCGTGGTTCTACCAAGTGAGCTCCGATCTGGATTGTCTTCTTGGGCTCGGTATCAAAGACTGGGACCAGGATTGTGTCCTTCATTGGACGAGCTCGTTCATCGGTGTTCTTGAGGGGTGGCTCCAGGTCAACGTCATCTACCAGTTTTCCCTTGCCCTTCAACACCGCGACATAGAACTTACGTGGCTCCAACTAGTCGCCTTGTACAACCCCTACTCCGTACCTCATTGGAAACTTCATCGAGTGGTAGTAGGTCGACACCACTACACGAAGTGCATGCAGGATGGGCCGACCTAGAATTGCATTATAGGGGGACAGGATCATGACCACCAAGAAGCTATGCTCAAAGCAGACCGAGATGGGCTCTGACCCGGCTGTAATTGGCAACTTGATTCGGCCTAAGGGCCTCAACATGTCTCCACTGAAGCTAACGAGTGGTACATCTGCTGGCTGCAAGTCCTTCCTTTCCAACTGCTTCTTCTCAAAGGCTTCCAAAAAGAGGATGTCAACCGAGCTTTTAGAGTCAACTAGAATCCACTTAACCTTGAAGTCATTAATCACCATCTTGACAACGAGGGCGTCATCATGTAGATATTAGATCCAGTGAGCATCATTCTCGATGAAGTATATAACTTCCTCCACACGAGGGCACTTCGGTGGGTTCTTGTTCTCATGCTCGAGCTCCTGGATTGAGTTCCTTCCCGCTGTAGTGCTACAACCAGCCACTATCGAACCTCCAGTGATCTTGTTGATCACCCCACGAATAGGCCTCTTTGGTGGTGGTTGATCCCTGTCTTGGTTTCTGTTAAACTCTTGCACTTCTCTTGGCTGGTCAGTTGGTCGGCTTCAGTCATCACGCTTGATGAATTGCTTCATGTAGCCGTGATGAATCATTTTCTCGATCTCATCCTTTAGATTTCTGCAGTTTTCTATATCGTGGCCTATGCCATAGTGGAAGTGACAGTACTTGTTCGGGTTGTAGTTGGTAGGGTTGCCTCTCATTCTGGGTGGCCATCTCACGTACTCGGCCATCTTTATTTGCATCAGAATCTCTCCCCTCTTTGTATTTAGGGCGATGTTGCTCCAGTTTTGGACTAGAGGAGTTTTGGATTGCTAGCCTAGTTTGGAACTCCAGTGGGGGACCTTCTTCTTCTTCTTGGCGACCTGCTTCACCTACTACGGGGTGACAGATTTCTCCTCGATGACTTGCTCTTACACTGCTACTTGTTCCTCCCCTCTTCTTCTTCAACTCACTTCCTCTTCCCAATTAGATCTATCCGAGATCCTACCACCTCCTTTGCCTTTGTAAACTTGCTGGCCTGGTGGAGGAACTCCTCCATAGTGGATGGAGGGTTCAACTCTACTTCCCAGCGCAAGTTGGGGTGGTGGACGCCATTGACCACTACGGTGTGCTAGATTGTTGGGTCAAGGTTTGGAATTTGGAGGCGCTCTACATTAAATCTTTTGATGTAGTCTCGGAGGGTCTCATTTGGTCGTTGGACGACGTTCAGTAGGTAGGTCACTGATTTGAGGCACCTCTTTCTAGTAGCAAAGTGCATTGTGAAGAGGTCTGCAAACTGATTCTAGCTCATTATTGAGCTTGTGGCCAGTCCCGAGTACCACATCCGAGCTGTAGCTCGAAAAGTCATCGGAAAGGCCATGTAGAGGCTCACATCATTTGCCCCATGAAGCTGCATGAGGGCCCGGAAGTTGTCGATGTGGTCAACTGGATCTGTTGTGCCGTCATATGACTCTAGGCTTGGGGCTTTAAAATCCTTAGGCCGTGGGGTTGTAAGGATCTTGGGTGCAAGTGGAGAGGTGTGGATTACCTACGGTGTTGTTGGTTGTTCTACGACTTGGTCTACCTCTCCCTTTTTATCTGCCTCCTCATTGTTGGTGGGAGCGAGGTGGCTTCTCTCGTCGTGACGGCGTGCACGTCGGCAATGCCTTCTCTTCGACACCTCGGTTGTGCTGCTACCTTCAGTTCCGATGGGTGTCGTGGCTCTTCTATGTTCTCCAACTGGGACCTAGTTCCGGTCATCGGTGCAACAAGGTGCATTGGGATCTGGTCCTTATTTCTATTACCGAGCTGCTAGTTCTGTTGCTGCTGAGGTTGCTATTGTTGTTGGGATTGTTGCTACTGCATCAGGGCAGCAAACCTTTTCTCCCACATCCGCATCTAGAAGTTCATATCGTGAACATACTGCACCAATTCATGGAATTGATGCACGTAGATCCCAATGGGAACCACTGATGGCTCGATTGGAGGAAAAGGTGCATTCACCTGGTGCAGAGGGAAGGCTAGGTTTGGCCTTGCTGGCATGCTGGGCAGAGTCAAGGGCATTGTGAACTGCCCAATGGTCATGGAGGGGACTTCAAGGTGTCCACCAGGCTGCTCTTGCCCCCCTATGACCTGGTTGTTGTTGTTGATGACGGGTTGGTTGTTGTTGAGGATGTCATTTAAACAGTA